ATAGAATAATAAGATGGGTTCATTTAAGTTGTAAAAGTTCATTAATAATAAACCTGAGCTAATAGGCCAAGCAGTTTGCAATTAATAATGAACCTCAGAGTGGTTATTTGGGAACTAGCAGGTGGGACAGAAGCTTCCATTTACACCTTTCACCTAAACACGCATGCACAAACACATGTGGACTGACTCCAGCCATCATGGTGTGTTTCCATTCTTATAGGTTAAGCCAGAACACACTGATGTTTCTAGAATTTTTGAGGTGTTTTGTTTTGTTTTGTTTTGCCATCAGTACAAATATAGGTTTATGGATTTGGTGGTTTAAATAGGTATGGCCCCCATAGACTCATGTGCTTGAATGTTTGGCCTATAGGTAGTGGCACTCTTAGGAGATGTGGCCTTATTGGAGGAAGTGTAGGGTAGGCTTTGAGGTCTCATATGCTCAAACTGCACCCAGTGCAGGTTACAGTTCACTTCCTGTTGCCTGTAGAACGAGATATAGAACTCTTAGCTACCTCTCCAGCACAATGTCTGCACACATGCTGCCCCACTTTGTGCCATGATGATAATGGACTAAACCTCTGGAACTGTAATTCAGCACTGATTAAATGTTTTCCTTAAGAAAGTTGCTGTGGTCACGGTGTCTTTGCACATCAATAAAAACCCTCACAAGACAGTTGACTTTGGCAAGTAATAATTATAACAATTATCAAGCACATGTACTGTATGTTAGCTAAGCCTGTCAAAAATTTTATCTTCTTGAGTGTGTTTTCAAACAAACAATACACTCATGTCTGATTTTGGATATTCTAATTTAAAAGATCCTTTCAGTAGATTTTTGTCATGCATATCAGAAATAGATATGGAAAAAAAGAATGCACAAGTTATTTGGGTACTAAAGACTTTATTTTTTTAATCAAACATATTTGTGGTTATAATAAAATAGGAAGTAAGGAGAAGATATGATTTTAAGTTTAAAGTTCTGTCCTCTAGTGTGGGTTGGAAGCTAATTATCTACTAAACACTTATAAACTATCTGAAAATAGTGACACTACTGACAATGTGCAAGATGAATACAAAGAGGAAAAATTTCTTAGTCTAGCCTGAGTTGTAAGGAATGGAAGGGATGCTGGGGAATAGAATACTGAGTCCATTCCTAGCTGTAGTTCAGATGGATTTTGTCCTGTTCCTGTCTTTTGGCACTTCTATCAATCAAACTCTGCCAACTCACTAAAGAATTTGCTTCAGATTATATATTTACAGTCAGCAAAAAGTATTCTCTTGAGCTTTATGAGAAATTGAAGGAATGTATCTGAGTCTTCTTCATAGTTTTAATTTTATGAAGATTGCTACAGATAATACCAGAGTAGGGGGGAATGGTTGGAACTAAAGACTTCATTGTCCCAAATATAAGAAGTTAATGCAAGACTATTCAAATGAGTAGGGCAGCAAAAGAACAAGGAGGTGAGAGAGGAGACACCAGCACAAACCAGATTTGCTTATCTAGAAGAAAGTAGTTATTTACGATGGTAGGGAAAGTTGTGTTGGTTGGAAGACAGAAGGGATTAATATGAAACAAGCTAATTTTCCTGTAGAGAATCTGGGAGTAGAGAGGCATGAGACCCCATTGAGAAGTGGGGAGACGGGGTAAAGGTCAAAGATGAACTTAACTGAAAAATCTGCAAAAGACAGTGGTTGGTACCCAAGGTCCCCTCCCTCTGCATATGTATCCACCTGCTTCTCTTCTCCCGTATGGTCCAGTCCACCTACCAAGAGATAATCATGTATTTTCTAGGGAATCTTGGTAGTGTATATTAAGAATTATGAAAACTAGGCACAGAGTAGTGGAGATGTTGAACAGAGGTAAAAGCAAAGATTAAGTGAGACTTCAACCTGAATAAAACCATTTGGTTACTTCCCTAGTGTAGTGAGGAGCTGCGGGCAGGCCTGCTTTCCGTCTCGCCCGGCTCCTGCCCGGCTAGCTTAGCCCCAGAAATAACAACACACAAATTGTATTCATTTAAACACTGCCTGGCCCGTTATCTCTAGAGAGTTACTGGCTAACTCTCACATCTTGATTAACCCATTTCTAATAATCTGTGTAGCACCACAAGGTGATGGCTTACCTGGAAAGATTCAGCATGTCTGACCTGGTGGCTGGCTCCATGGCGTCTGCCTCATTGCCCTCTTCCCAGCATTCTGTTCTGTTTACTCAGCCTAATTTTCTGTCCTATCAAATGACCAAGGCAGTATCTTTATTAACCAATGAAAATAACACATAGAAGGCCCACCTACATCATTTCCCCTTTTTCTATTTAAACAAAAAAGAAAGGCTTTCACTTTAACATAGTAAAATTATATATAACTAAACAGTTATCGAGTAAGAATTGCAGTAACAATATTTATATCTATTTTATCTTTATCATAATAATGGAAAACTATAACTATAACTAACCATTCTTCAACTCCATCAAAGACTCCAGAAAGATATAATATTACCTAAGTAAACAAGAAGTAAGCAACTTCCAAAACTCTAGAAATGACAGAGACATCTTGCTGCCTGGACAGTCATCCAAAGTTCCCCTGTACCGTTGGGGCATCCATCTTCAACCTACAGGCCCATAGTATCCAGAGACATTTCCATAAAGCAGGAAATTTCAAAGGCAGTTCAGTCACTATCTGCTGTGTCCTGCAGAATGTCTCGCAGACTCTTTCATGAATCAGGAACCCTGAAAGATCATCTCACCTTTAGGCAAGTTCAGCAGTCCTCTCTCTGCGGGTTCTTTGTGTGCAGTTTATACAACAGGCCAGGTAAGAGCAGTTTCTTGCCCAAATGGCTATCAAACTCCATAAGGAGCCTCTTCAATGCCCATCTTCCTCTTGAAGTAGCTGGTGCTGCCAGTAGCCAATGTGTCTCATTGTCCTGAAAAGCCCTAAGTTATTAAAACATTAAATGCCATATTCTGTAGTCTTTGAAAGATATGAAGAATACCTATCTGAAATATATCTATGCACATCTAGAAAGTCTAACTAACATGACTACAAACTTGATTATAGATGATTATCATTTAACAACCTATATTTTTAATTATACATTGCATTTTTAAAAGAACTATACATCACAATACCTCAATCAAGATCAGAAATATATATATACATATAACAAAATTGACCTTAAAATCCATACCAATGCAAATTATTCATACCTATATCACTCTAGATATGCTCTCTAAGTCAAGTAGTCAATCAGAAAGGCCTCCTTATAAGAAACTGCTAGCTATTATCTGGAAAACAGTGAATCACATAACATAAAATCCTTCTGTATGGTAGAATATGGGATCTTCCAAGAGAAATAAATAATAGTTTGCACTCTAGACTACCAATGGGAAAGTGTGCTGAGCAGCCATCTGTGAAATCTGTGAAGCCTCAAGCCAGCTTTCTATTGATGGGTTGCTACTCTTCAAGTTGGACAAAAGGGACAAGATAAACAAAATTATTCGATATACTCAAAACCAGTGTATGTGCAGGAAACCTCTTATCTAAAGGAGATCTCTATAAAGGAATCAAAATCAGGATACAAGAAGAATAAAAGAAACAATTAACGGAAGAAGAAGGGACTTAGTGGGTGTTAGAAGGGTGAATGTTGAGTTGAAACTTTGGGAGAGATTTTGAGATAATGTCTCTGAAAATGCAAGAAGACAAAATGCAAAAAAAAAAAAAAAAAACAGGAAAGGTGAGTAACTTAGAATGCCCCAGAGAGATACAAGTATCAATAACCAGCATCCCATTAAAGAGAAGAAGAAATAAAGAAAGATGTTAAGAAAAAATCTAGGAACCATAGTTACTGGTTTGCAGAATGAATCCATGATGTTGCTGAGTCAACAGACACAGTCAAAGGACTGACAAAGTGTCCACAGCATCTTTCGCCCCTCATTATCATTACACATTTTGGGGAAGTCATCTCATGCTTTCACTAGAAAGTCTCATATTTGGGGTCTTTTTCCTCTTTATTTTCCACTATTTTAAGAGGTATGTAGTGATACAATTATGATTTGTAATTCTATAATGACTGACAAGACTGGCTTTTTTGTGTGTGATTTGTCAATTATCTAGTCGAGGAAAAATCCCTTCAAAGCTTTTGCTGGTTTGATTGGATTCATTGTTTTCTTGTTAGATTTGTGAAGATTTTCATGTTTATGTACATATATATTTGGGAATTATTTATGTCTAATAACTTGCAATTTTTTTCCAGTCTATGGCTTGTCTTAAAGTTTGAGGTTTTTTTTTTTATTTTGTTCTGTTCTGAAACCAGGGTTTCATGTGGTCTTGTAGGTCTGACTAGCCTCAAACTTCCTGTGTAGCAGTGTCTTCATCAGTGTCCTACTGCTGTGAAGAGACACCATGACAACAGCAATTTTTACAAAGGACAACATTTAACTGGGACCGGCTCACTGTTTCAGAGGTTTAGTCTATTATCACTATGGTGGGGAGCATGGCAGTGCGCAGACAGACATAATGCTGAAGCTGAGAGTTCTACATCTGATCAGCAGGCAGCAGGAAGAGAGGAGGACAGAAACACTGGAACTGGGTTGACTTGAGCATTTGAAACCCTAAAGTCTACCCCACAGTGATGTGCTTCCTCCAATAAGGACACACCTCCTGATTCCTCTCAGGCATATCACTCCCTAGCCAAAAGGGCCACTACTATTAAAACTACCACACCTAGGAAAACCTGATCCTCCTGTTTCAGCCTCCCAAGTGCTAGGACTAGAGGTGTGAGTCACCATGCCAGGCCAGATAACTTTTCTTCTCAATTCACTTAACCATGTATTTTTTTTTAATATGTCTGCTATGTATATAGTGTTCTGCCTGCAGGTATGCCTGCACACCAGGAGAAGGCAACAGATCTCGTTATAGATGGTTGTGAGCCACAATGTGGTTGCTGAGAATTGAACTCAGGACCTCTGGAAGAGCAGCCAGTGCTCCTTTTTAACTGCTGAGCCATTGCTTCTTGGACTTTTGGCTAAGATCAAGTGTAGTATCTGTTCTTATCAGTTCGGTTGTATCTTTTACAGAACAAAAAACTTACATTTCAGTGGATTTGGCTTTGTACATTTGATGTTAAACACAAGAACTCCACTTTACCTAAGCTTAGGAGTTGCTTCTCTATTACATAGGAATTCAAGACCATCTTAGGCTATGTGAGATCTTGACTAGAGGTGAGAAGAGAAAAAAAATCTCCTAAAATAAGTATTATATTCCTCCTATCCTTCTTCTTCTAGAACACTTGTCTGATTATATTTTGAATTTACATCTGCGCTAATTAAACTGATGTGTGGGACAAGTTAGTGTTATTTTTATTTCATGTTGTTTTATAATAAGTATTTTGTAGTTCCAACTCATTTTAATACAGTGACTATTTTTTTATACTGAAAACTTTAGAATGGGGCACTTTTATATTTTCTGCTGAATTTACCAATGTGCCTGTGAGATCACCAGCATGGAGGACTGCTGATTGTCCCAGATACATAGCGCCCTGTGAAAACATACAGCCCAGTCTTCCATCTGAGCTTCCTAAAGCTTGTTTTGGCTTTTCTCTTCCCTTACTTTTCCATATAGATTTTGGAAACAGCTTATTAATATCTACAAAAATCTCTGTGGTTTTAATCAGGACTGCATTGACTCTGTGAGTCACTTGGAGCAGAATTTGTGTCTCAATAGTATCTGATCTTTCATGTATTAGGTGCAGTAAATTGCTTATGTGCTTGATACATTTATCTCATCAGCATTTGATAGAGCTCAATACACAGTAATAAAGGTATTTTATTAGATTTGTACCTAATTGTTTCCTTTTAGGGGTACAATTATTAATGTTCCTTTAAATAAATTAAAATTTAATTGTTTGTTATTGGCGTGTAGAAAGACCATTGATTTTGATATAATAAAACTTGGCTCAGCAACCTTGCTAAATTTATTATGAGTCTTGGGCACTTTGTTGTAGGTTGCTGAATTCTACATGGATCTACAAAACAAACATAAGGACGCTTTCAGCCCTTTACCATTAGTGAGGATGTTTGTCACCTATGAAGTTTAGAGAGAAAGCCTTCTATCAGGTTGAAGAATTATCTTTTATTTCTCATTTTCTGAAATTTATTATAAATATGTCACATGGTTTCCTACATCTTATATTTTTGGAAGATTAATTATGTGTTGATTTAAAAGCTATGAACCAGTCTGCTCTCTCTGGGTAAGTCCTGCGTGGTTGCCATGTGGTCTCCTCTTTACATGTAGCTGGGAGCTGCTTGCTGTAATCTGCAGATGCATCCACCTGTTCTCATAGAACTGCTTCCACTCTGCCTTTGCTTCTAGCAATGCCTTTACCATGCTTGACCTTGACCGTCATGATGATTCTGTCCCTACAGAAGGAGAGCTACTCTTTCTTTACTTTGTAGACATTATTTTATGCATTTTTTAATGTTGATAGAATTCACCAATGAAACCCACTTTTACCTGTAATTTTCCTTGGAGAAAGACCTTTAACTTGGAATGCAATTTCCTTAATAATTTGGAGTTTTTCTAGATGCTTCTTTTCAGCTGAGCTTTTTGATTTTAACCTTGAATATGCAGAGTTGGTCCTTTTCAAACCATTTGACAGCATTATGAGCAGAATGCCATTTCCAGTGTATGGATTGATTGATTTCCTCCCATGGTAGAGTCTTAGAGGTCTTTAATTTAGTAGATTTAAAAAAAAACCTCTTGATTTTATTGATGTTTTTCTGGTTTTTGTTAGTTCTTTGAGAATTTCATACAATGTATTTTGATCCTAATCAACCCCTTCCCCAAACTTCCCTGCTTTCCTACCCACCCAACTTTGTGCCCAAGCTGTTCCATGCCAATGTATTCGGTAGTGTAGCTCTCTACGAAGACGTGGTTGGCTACTGGAGGCCACACCCCTTAAGAAAACTGACTCCTAGTAGCTCTCTTTGCCAATGGTTCATCAGCTTGAGCTCAGACTTCGTGCTTCCCTCTTCACGCTAAGAATTATTGGCTGGAGCTTGAGCAGGTCTCGTGCATGCTGGCAGCACCATTGTGGGCTCCTGTGTCTAAGCACCCTGCGCTGTCTGGAGAATGCTGTTTCCTTTAGGCAGTCAGTCAGCCACTGCCTCTGGCTCCTAGATCTCTCCAACCCCTCTTCCACAGCAGTCCCTGAGTCTTGGGCAGGGGCTAAGGAAGTGACAGATGTCATTTAGAACTTAGTGCTCCATGGTCCCTTCTCTACAGTTTGAAAGCTTATGGTCTCTGTGCTGAGCACTGTCTCCTGCTATACACTACACTCGTTGTAGGAGTGAGGCTGTGAAAATGGCCATCCTGCAGAAAGCAATCTTACAGATCCAACACAGTTCCTCTCAATCCCAACACAATTCTACACAGAGAAATTGGAAAGGATATTGTTAAATTTCTTTTTGAAAAATAAAAAAAAAACAAGTCTGGCCCAAACATCCCTGGACAATTAAAAATGAAAGCCACCTGCTGCAGGTATACCATCCCGATTTCAAGTTAGACCACAGAGCTGTAGTAATGAGAAAGGAGAAAAGCAGGATAATTGACTTAGAAACAGACACCTGGATCGAAGAACTAGCTCTGAGGACCCGCAGCTAAGTACATAAACCTATTGCCACCTGATTTTTGACAGAGGCATTTATACAGACCAGAGAAAAGATGGCATCTTCAAGAGGTGATGCTGGCCAAATGGGAAAGCGCTGTATGTGGAGAGTAGAGCCTCATGGCTCACCCTGCATGAAACTCAACTCCAAATGGACCAAGCCCCTCAGCCTAAGGCCTGATATTCTCAATTTAACAGAGGTAGGAAGAAGGGAATCCATGTAAATTTGCTGCCACAGGAGAAGACATTCTGAGCAGGACCCCTACAGCTCAGGCATCTAGAGCGACGGCTGATAAATGGGAGCTCATGGAGCCTGCAGTCCACCTGCACAGCAAAGGCACCATAGTCTGCGTGCAGTGGCAGCCTGCAGAGTGGGGAAGAATCCTCACTGATTTCTTAAATATTACTTTCTGTTTGCTACTCCAGATAATTCTGCCCTTTACTGCTTTCCTCTTCCTTCTTGCCTTCGTGTTTCCTCAGAGAGAGTAGCTTACTTTGCTTGTGTAAGATGAAGTCGAAAGCCCATGGCTTTGAGTTTTCCTCTGAGCCCTGATTTAGGTGGCACACATCATGAAATGCTGCACTTACATTTGCTCAAAGTACTTTTTACTGACCATTGAACCTTCTTGGCCTGTAGATTACTCACAGGGAATTGACTTAACTCACAAATATTTAGGATTTTTTTCAGATACTTTGTATGGAATTTTCAGTTTATTTCTCATGGGTTTGTAGCTGAGGTTTGCTTCAGGGTGCAGAACAGAGTCTGTCTTGAAGAGCAGGAGTGTGCGCTTTGGTCAGTGTGTTTGTAAACAAGGTGGAGTCATGGCGATGTGTGGATTGTCTATAAACTTATTGAACCGCTGAGTTGTTCTGTCAGTTATTGGCAGAGGAGATCTGATGTCTCTACATGTGATCTGTGGATGAATCCATTGCTTCTTTAGATGTATGAAGGGAAACTCCTGGAAAGAAGCCACATGGTACAGTGACCTTTCTATAAGTCTGTCAACTGATGGGAACTTCAGTCAACTATGGGCACATTGGAACAGGGAGTTTGGGGTAATCTATGTGTTCTCAGCACATGGTCATTCATGTTTGGCTCTAAAAATAAACTACCACCTGTATTTTTGAGGTGAGAGATGGGGACAAATACATCATTTTTGCCTTATGCATTTGATGTGCTGTTACCAAGTACATATGTGCACATTGCAGCTTATGGACATGATAAACTGACCCTACTCTCCGTGTGTGGTCTATCCCTTACCAGCTCTCATAATTTCCTTATTCTTATGTCTACATTACCTGGTGTTTATATAACCATCCCAGATTTCATTAGCATCGCTTTGAATGATGGGATTGTTTCCTGGGATCATTTTTAAATACTAGGTTGTGGTAGGATAACTTTGTTCACAGCCTCTGAAGATGAATCACTCTGTTTTACCTGTGTTTGGCCACTGGTTAGGAGTCCGGTGAAGTTTTTTCTGTCTCTTGTTTAGTAAGTTAGCCTCCAGTTTGTTTCTCCTCAAGTTTTGCAGGGCTTCGTCACCTCTGTCGAATGCACACACTCCCCCATGGCTTACTCAGGACTTGGCTGGGCCGAAGGAAAAAGGCTCACGTGCTGAAGTGTTTCCTTGTGGGTGGAACAGTCAGGGACATGCCACTTGGAGCTGATTCTGAGCTTGTATTATTTTGCTTCTGAAATCAAGGGGTCTTCCATCTTTTCCAGCTTTCTAGTCCCTTGTATTTCCTGTTCTGGACCTTTGGCTAAAATGTTATTTTCTCTGGGGCCTTGTGTCTTCCAGATTCTTCACAGTTATCACAGCTGAAGCTACTTGGGAGGCAATGAGGAGGAAAGAGAAATATAGAAAACAGCAAAGATTCTCTGTTCCCTGTATTTATTCTCTGGACGGCAGGGCTCCTTTTTCTGGTTCCTCTGAAGAAAAAAATGAGCTGTTCTTGGTCTTTCTGATTCCCATTGGCTAACGTCATGGTACGTCTGACAAGCTTCATCCTTCAGGCAGGGCCAAGAAGCAAAAGGACAGGAAGGAAACAGAATGGGAATTTGCCCCCACACACTCTATGTTTCCCTCCCTCTGCACACTCTGGCCAAAAAACGATAGGAGGAAATTGCCAATCTCTGTTCCACCCTGGAGCATCCCCCCCCCCACCCCGGGTTAAATGTGAAAGGGAATAAAGATGGGTGAGGCATCCTCTGACAACTGTTCTTCATGACGTAACGCCGTTCATGGTGCCCCTGCCCTGGTTCCGTCCCAGAGTCCTCAGACAGTGCTGTGTGCAGACTTTCCCACCTTGCTATTTGAGCAAGAACGGCTACAGCAGCCTTACTCCACGCTGGTCAGCACGGGATGCCCCACACACACATCAGATTTTTCTTTATTGCAATGACTTTGGCTGATTTACTTTTGCTTCTTTCCCCCTTTCAGCCAGAGATCTAATAAAAAAAAATTGATAGACACCATTCTCAACCAAATGTTGGCATGTAAAATATTTCCTTTCTTAAAATG